AAGGCAAAGTCTGGAATTCAAAGTGTTGGATAGAATGGCATTGGCCTTATGCTTTTTTTTTTGTCCGTCAACACAAAGTTATTAACTAATAATTACAAATAAAGATTTGTGAATCCATTCTGAATCCTAACAGAATTCTATTGTGAATCTTTTTATTTTGTCATAGTTGTCTGCATTCAGAATAGGATACAAGCAAAGTACTCGCAGAGTATTAACTTTCACACAGTAAGCAGCATATTAATATGTTGTGGACCTCTTTCATTGATACCATCTCAAGGTAATGGTTGGCCTCTGTGCTTTAATAATTCTCCCATGGCATCCACTTGTGTGTTCATCATTGTGCTCCTTGGTTTATCTGGAGGGCACAAAGTCCTCACTGTTGTTTAGGCGCTGCTTCAAAACAAAAGTCATACAAAATGTTATTGGTTTTATTCAATTTCACTATCATCAAAATCATCTGATAATAATCACTTTTTTTTACACATTTTTACCATAATACTTTCCAAACCTCTTTTTGTTGTTGTGAACCATCTCTTGTTTCCACAGACCCGTGGCGCTCAGCTGTAGTCTGTATATTGCTGATGTTAGCTGTGGGTATCGTGGCCTTGCTGGTGGTTACTGGTTTCATCTGTCTGAAAAGGAGACCACTACCACGGGTCCTGGTGAGTAAATGATGCACATAACTGTTCGATTTTGGAAAGTTGTAGGTGCGAGTGAAGTACAAGGAGTAGTAAGATCTTTGAATATCAGATTGATCAGAGCAAGCGATATCTGTTTCAGTCCCCACAAAGGAACCTTACTGTTGTTTTAGGACACACCTGAAAAATCCTTAAGCTTTGATCACTGAAGTTGGGTGTCAAACAGTCCCAACAAGTGGTTTTATTAGTCATGTAGGTTAATCATAATATCCACCAGAGGCATGATATTAAGTTTAGTCAATATGGACATACAGCACTATACCTCGTTAGAATGGGTAGAAGCTCCGCTTAATGCTGATAGAACACCAAGCAACTACATCATCATTTTGAGAAAACACACAAATTGTACATGTCCACAAAGCCAGTACTCATGCCACTTTATGCTAACAGCCATAGAAGAGGAAAAATGTATAGCAAAAAACCTAAATTACATTAAAATATACAGTTTTATAGTGGTGAGAAATCTCAAGTGGTACAACATGAGAGAAATGTTTTTGGAGATAATGCCTCTACATATCTCTGTTAAAACCTCTCTTACTTTGCTTCACTTCAAGTTATTTGAATGACATTTGGCACAGATCATGTTCAGGTGTTATGCTATGGGTTGCTACAGATTTTAGGCTACAACTCTATGATTTCCAATGGGAATATTCATTATGTTGTGTTGATTGGGTTACCTTTATAAAGATACCATGGATACTTTATATAGACCATGTAGTTGGAGAGATTGTTATGTTTTGTGGGGCGAGAGTAAGGGAGCAGGTGGACCCAAAAGGCAGAACAAAAGGTTTTCAACAGAAAGTGTCCTTTAATTTGGAAGGCAGGGTATAAATACAAAATACAAAATCAACAGTAACATAAAAAGCTCTTAGGAAAAACAGGGGAGACGCAAGGAAACACTACAGACTTACTGGGGAAAGTAGAAACGGTGACGAGTGGTGGAACAACAGGGATATGGAAATGGCATCTCACAACAACGAAGTGACAAAGACATAGGGGAGCACAAAGACTTAAATACACACTGAACTAATGAGAAACTCAGGTGGCACAGGACAAACAGGTGAGCCCGAGGAGGGCAGGAAGTCCTGGGGGAAAACACACAGGGAGCAGAGACTACAAAATAAAACAGGTGAACACAGGGGAACACTGAGAGGAACACAGGGTGAAGCACAGAGGGGAACACAGAGAGGAACACGGGGTGGAACACAGAGGAACACAGAGGGGAACACAGAGAGGAACACGGGGTGGAACACAGAGGAACAC